TCACTGTACTAGTAATACATACCACTTTACAGTAATTCACTGTAACGGTAATATAGAGTACTAGTAATACAAATCACTGTACAGGAATTCACTGCACCAGTAATACACATACACATACATGACACAGTTTAGGATCTGGCAAAACCTCCAGGCTAGAAATTCTCACTTGAAAACAAATTAAGCTGTCAATGTTCATGAATTAGTGCAGTAAGCTCCTAATGAAAATCACCACTGGAGAGAATTTCTTCTCTGGAGTTTAAATTTTTATGAAAATACAGTAGCATTCTGTCTGAAAATACACACATCTTGAGCACTGTCTCAATGCAACTACTCTCACTTAATAAGAAGTTAATTAGTTAATTAAAGTTAGCCAAAAATATCTAATTTCAAAGGTATTTTTTTTTTAACTTTTGTAACCATGTGCAGAGTGCTCTTCACAAACTGTTAGTTAATTCACATTAAAATATTGATCATTTTTATTTTTCATCAAAATCAATCCATAAATAAAATTTAATTCATTAGACTGCAGAAAATCTGTAAAAATCGTATTGACATTCTGGCATGTTTATATGGTCAAGTGTTATTACAGCTACTACATTTATGTCAGCTGTCTGAGGCAACCCATGAATAAGCTGTGTTTTTTAACGAATATGTTTTAAAGAATGTCATGTAATACTAAGCCACAATTATATTTAATACGTTACCATATGAATACACACAAGGTATTATTAATCATAATGTAACTCTTATTCACATGTAAACAACTCCTAAATGGTGGAATTTTTGTTTTTAGGTTGGAATAAACAGTAATTTTTAGCTACATGTATTTGCATGTCATAACTTTAAATCTATGTCATGTGACATAAAATATTTCACTGTGTTTATTCATTTGTTGCCACATAGGTAACCATAATCATGAGCAAAATTGGCAAAAAAACAACATAGTTTTCATTTTCCTATCACATATTCTAGCATAGCCTTTAGGGGGGATCAATTTATCGTTTGTGGCTGGCAGCTTATCAAAGTTACGTTATGTCATTTATTACCTAAATATATTTAGAATTGTACTTTCACATGTATTTCATGTCATTTTCCCAATTTTTTTTGACTCAAATAGTTGGCACTGATTTTATGTAGATTGTAAACACTATAAACGATTACTTGACAACTATTCCTCTTAATATGATACACCGCAATAGGGACATACCGCTGAGTCGCTATAAATCTGATACAGTACTACAAGGAGATACCATTAAAATCCTAAACTCTAAACTTACACTCAAAGATCAACTATCAGTAGTACTGTAATACTCAGTTTTCATAGTATCCCAAATGTATTCCTTGAAAAATTTAAAAGTAAAGCCATCAAACCAAATTAATCTATGCTTGCATGTTGGTTAATTAAACCCAAACCCAAAACTTTTTTTTTTATAAACAGCATTTAAAAGTTGTTGCCAATCATCAGATGAGAATGGTTTCTTGCTTCAATGCACATGGGTTGATTTTATTGTCATGAGAACTCTGGAATTTAAGATTTCCAGAGAGTTCAAGTTCAAGTAGAAAGACATCTTGAGACCAGCAGGCACAGTGGTATTGATTCCAAACAGAGTCAATAAACATTTTATCACTGGAACTCATTTGTAAACACAAGGGACTATATCTCTTTGCAGCCAGCCATTTCACATTCCAAGGGAACAATGAATCAGCAGGCATGACAGCAATATTGGGGTCATCATCAGTGACAGGATAAAGGCAGAGATAGCTACATATCATCTAGAAGAACACGAGTTATAGGAGAATTGAAGGATCACCAATTCTAGTGCGGAAACTGAATAGACAGATTTTAAAACAAGATAGCTATAGTTCAAACCCAATCACTTTTGCTAAACACTACTATAGGATATGGCTCAATAAATAAACTCACTACACATCAGTTATCATTTCAGTTGATAGGTTTGTAATGTAGGTTTGCAATGAAAATAAAATAAATATCATACAGCAAATCTAAACAGTATTATTAAGTGTAATATATATGACATGCAGAAAGTGGGTAAGTGGTGTATTAAAGCAGGGGAGATGTCACATGTGCGTACGTCAGATGGCCGTAGCGTGTCGTTGTTTACAAACAAGCGTCTACCCATGAGCCTTTGCATTGTTAGCATGTGTTGTTATCGT